TATAAAGACAGGGTCCCACTACATTGCCCAGGCTAATCTCAAATTCATGGCCTCAAGCAGTCATCTGGCCTTGGCCTCTTAGAGTGAGTGCTGGATTACAGGCATGAGCTACTGCACTCAGCCTAAACTCAGTTTCTATTGTTCCCCAGAAGTTAGGCTCACTCACTGGAATAGTAAGATCAATTTCTTACCTAGCTGTCTCAGTCCACACTACACTCAGTAAGCCCTCCCTTAGAAGCACTCTAAAGCTCTGGAAAACATGAGCGTTAAATAAAATAGGGAGTCCAGGCAATGGAAGAAGCAAAGACAATAAATTTTTAGAAAATTATTCCTATAGTTTATTTTTTTACTTTGTGGGCCCCAATAGAGTGCTGTAGCATCATAGCTCACAGCAACCTCCAACTCTTGGGCTTAAGGGATTCTCTTGCCTCGGTCTCCCAAGTTACTGGGACTACAGGCATCTGCCACAATGCCTGGCTTTTTTTTTTTTTTTTGTAGAGATGGGGGTCTCACTCTAGCTCAGGCTGGTCTCGAACCTCTGAGTACAGGGCAATCCACATGTCCTGGGCCTCCCAGAGTGCTAGGATTACTACAGGGTGAGCCACCACACCTGGCCTAGAAAATTATTCCTTCCTTTAACAAATTAATGTGTGGGTGGCACCTGTGGCTCAAAGGAGTAGGGCGCCAGCTCCATATGCCAGAGGTGGTGGGTTCAAACCCAGCCCTGGCCAAAAATCTGCAAAAAAAAAAAAAAAAAAACAAAAACAAATTAATGTGTGTCTATTATGTGCCAGGCACTATTCCAGGGACTGGCAATATGGAAGTCCACAAAATGAGACAAAATATGGAAATATCTTCACAATTTGCAAGAAAAACAAAAGATGTTTATGCTCTAGAATACCAGCTAGGGAGCCATGGGACTTTTACATTTTTTGGTCATGACATATCCAACAGAGATACAAACCCTAAAAGACCCTCACACATGGGCTACATCTTCAACCACTGCCTCTGCACCAGTTTGCAATGAGTTTCCTCATTGTTTTAACTTGCCTTGCCCATCCAAAAGTGCCACTCTGGAGACAATACTGCAGAATACATAGACTATTCCATGCTTTTCAACACCATGGAGGTCAAACAGCTAAGGGCAAGGTAAACCCATCAGTTCTGACTCCTCATCCATCAAAATACCCTTTTTCAGGGGCTGCCCATATTCCTGCTTGATCTAAAGGACAGGGCCTAGAGAAAAATAAAATGCCTCTAATCATCAGTATGCATTTTAAGCCTAAAGCTGCACTTTAGGAAAATCTCCAATATGCCTACCATTTCTAACTCTGGCTTTGGAGATAAGCCGTATGCCCTTTCCTTGAGGTAAAGACCTCTAATTGCCCATCTATCTATCTACAAGGATCGGAAAATAGAATTTATTGATTGTGGACATCAGTTCTGGATAATCTTTAGGGACATCCCCACAGTCTTCTGCTTTGAGTCAGGCCCTTTCCAAACCCAACAGGCCACAGAGAACTTTGAGCGGATTCAAGGAAGAGTCAAAGATAACCTAGAAGTTAAAAACCACCTATGATTCCAGGTCCCAAAAACTTTAGGTTATTTTTAGTTTTAACTTGAGAATATTCTAAGCATAATAACTTGATGCCCCTAGGTATGATATAACTTGAGAATATTTTAAGTATTAGTAAGTGGTGTTTTTAAATAAGCCACTGAGTAATACTTCATCTCAATTCAGAAACTTGTTTAAAAAAGGAACACCTCAAAAACTAATCTCTTCAAGGCAGGAAGTAATTTGCTTAGCACAGTTTCCATAGGCTGTGTTTTGCTTGGCATCTAAAACTAATGGGTTGAGATAGTCAGATTTTATTTAATAGATGCTGTGTTCTACTTGATTCTAAACTAATGGGTTGAGATAGTCAGATTGTATTAGCTGCTTTCCTGAGGGATGGAGGTAAGGGCCAGAAAGCCGAAGGAATGTCTCAACACAGCTGTTTGGGAAAGGGGCGTGTATATTGTAGGGCAACTCTAACCTGTAAACCAGGAAACAAGAAACCTAGGAAGGCATATAAAATACGAACTGAGATTCAAACTTTGGCAAGAACCTAAAATAGTACAGAAGAATTCTTTTCTCCCCACCCCCCAGGTCGTCCGTTAAAGAAAACTGGCTAAAACTTTCTTGTATGAACAGGCCTAAAGCAAGGAGGAGGCCAGAAGTGAAAGGAAGGCCCACCCTCTCCCTAAAAGACCCTCACTAATCAGGTCGCACAGAATGTAAACCTAGGATCAGGCCGACCCGGCTCCAAAAAGACTAATGTGAGTTTTTCTAAGCTCGCCTGGCCCTCCCCCTCCGGGCCTCCGCCTGGGTCTTGGTCTCAGGGCGCCTGAGGCCTTCACGTGGCCCAAAGTCCACGCCCACCGGGCACACTTGGGGCCTCGGGCTCGAGGGGTCCGTTTTCTCCAGGGACCAAAGGCTTTCTGCGAGTGACAGGCTGGATCGTAGATGAGGGCCCTAAGGTCTCGAGGCTCCGCACCGGTAGTGTAGGCCCTAAGACCTCGCTAGGCCCGGACCGCCATTCCGAGGGAGCCAATCAGGCCGGCCGGGGCCTGCATGACACAGCACGATCTGGCCCAGGCTCCGACCCGAGCCCACAACAAGCCCCACCTAGGGGGCGCGCGGGTGCGCGGCAGGGGCCAGCCGGGCACAGCCAGGCCTACGGACCCTCATTCGCCCCCTTCTTCTCCTTCTCTTCCCCCCTCCTTCCCAGCCTCCACCTCTCAGACGCGCCCACGGCCAGGCCCAGCAGGGCCTACCCCGCGCGACGGGTCCCGCGGTGCGCGCCCCCGTAAGCGGGCGGCGCGCGCACTCACTCAGCTCCAGAAGCCATGGCACACGCCTCTCCCGGCCAGCGGCTGCGACGGCCCTCGAGTAACGGCTACAAGGGGTGGCAAGCGACCGACTGGGCCCGGGCTCGGCTCTCTCGGGGGGTGGGCTAACAGCAGCGACAAACCCGCAGGCGGCCTCCCTCTCGCTTCCTCCCAGCGGCACTGGGGCGGCGGGCGTGCGGGCGACGCTGGCTTCTGATCCGCGAGGTGGCAGCAGCAACGACGACTCAAACGATGGCAGCAGACGCTGAGACTGAGCCGAGAAGAGCCGAATCATCGGAAGGAAAGCCGCTCTCACCTCAGCCAATCAACGCCTGCCCTGGGGACTCCCGCCCGCCTCTCTGCACCTCTCCCCAGCAACCCGCATGCCACAGCCAATCAGAAAATTCGCTTGTGGCCTGGATCCCGCCTCAGGGATGCAACACGCCTAGTAACGCCAAGTCAATTGGCCGAACGCTACGCTTCCTCGATGGATTGGAACTCTCGACCAATCAACAAAAGGAATAGGGCGAGATCGACTACTGAAAGGAGGGCCTTTAATTCTTAGGAGGCGGACTCTCCCACTTGGCTCCAGTTCATTGGCTCTCTTGAGTTTATCCTCCTGGAAGAACCTGGCACAATGGATTGAACCCTTGTTTCTCGTCCAGTCCTGTTGTGATGATAATCTATACACCAAGTTTTTTTTTTTTTT